GACCCACTTCCTCAGATCAAATTGTGGAAGAAAATTGGCATGACCATATATACCAAAGGGATACAATCAATATATGCTGGCATTGTAGTGCAAAATGTGCCCACAAAAAGAGATTGTTATAAATAGAAAGTAAGCCAACAGAGAGATAATAGCTCAAGGAAGTGCCCTCATAAGGCTTAGGAAATAGGCTGCCATTAACAAATCAGGGAAATACAACCTAGATGGAGCTACTATAAGGTGGGTACATAACTAGATGGAAACCATTCCCAGAGAGTAGTTACAGGTGATTTGAAGTCACCCTGGGAAGGAATAATGATAGGGATTACACAGGGATCAGTTTTGGGACTGGTTTCATTCAATATATTCATTAATGACTTTGATAATGCCATAAAGAATGCACATATAAAGTTTGTGGGTGATATCACGCTGGGAGGGGCTGCAAGTGGTTTGGTTAGAGACAACAATGAATTTTTTCCTCATCAAGATAAAAAATTTGAACACAAATTTTTTTGAATCAAAATATATACATTTGGTTGATATTTTTACCTCCTTTTTAAAAAAAGAACTAAATTTTAAACAAATCACAGTTGTGAAACAAAAAAGTCAGAACATTTCAGTGAGATGTGTGATCACCTAATTCACTATTCCTCTATATCCATGCCCACCTCATGATTAGAATTTGGGATAGAGTGTATAGCTTTGATTTTTTTTCTTAGCTTTTTATATAGAGCTCAGATAAATTTATTGGAAGAAAACATTGTAAATTTTCTCATTGATTTAATCTCCATATGAAGAAAGTTTGAAGCATTCAGTTTGTCAAGGACAGGTAATGCCTAAGGTTGGGCCACATAGTGCCTAAGAATAGTGAATAGTTGATGCCTTTGGATTTTCTCAGTGTGGATTAGTTACTGGGAAATTTCCAAAAGATTGGGCTGGTGCATGCAAATGTGACCTCAGACTTCAGAAAGGGCTCCTGCTATGGATGTTCAGATATATTTTCCTTTTTCTCTATATCTGCCTTGTTGCATTAGAGTGTGTGTGATTTTGCTAAATATATTAATACATTATTTATTTGTTATATACAAATATAAAAGAGTTCCTATGTTGTGAGTGTTGCACCTATGCACAAAGGGGTTCCCAACCACAGAATAATTTTAATAAGAATCTAACTGTATCTGATCTTGGGACAAGAACCAGTGTCAACCCTGAAAGTGACAACTGGGAATCTAGATCAGGCTACAAAGTGCAGAGAGCATTGTGTGTGGTACTATAAACTACTACTAACAGTGGTTAGCATCAATGATCTCTTTGAACATGTTTGCAAATGTACAGCCCTAGAGTGTAACCCTTTTGGAGAGGAGACTGTATGGATTGCTTTATTTGACTGCATGGTGCCTGACACACTTGTGGACATTTAAATTAGAAATAGTAATAATAATTGGTTTTGTATTGAAAATTCTATTTATTGGTATTTTCTTATTTTAAAATATTGATTTATACTGTTATGACACTTCTGTCTGCAGCCAAGTCTCAGGGTTCTAATCCCAGCTGTGACACTGACTGCCTTTGCAGCCATAGGTAGCCTCCTTACCTCTCTGTACCTGTTTCACCATCAGTAACTTAAAGTTAAATGATTCAATTAATATTGCCTCACAAAGTTAATGAGAAGCTTAATTGATATTTATATGGAACATTGAAGGTGTGTAGCACAGTATAATTGTTGCTGTTTAGCCCACATATTGGACTGAAGAATTTTCTTGGATATCAAGGGCAAAGCTTGTGCTGCAACTAAAATGGGACAACTAACATCCTTGGCAAAGCCTCAGTAAGTAGGGTTTTCCCCTCCTTATCTACCTATAGTACCTTAAATAGGTGGAATAGGACCAGTGGGAAAGAAACAAGTGTACCATTTGGGGAGGGTGAGGAGTCCCCCCCCCCCCAAGTTTTGTATAGGAGGTGTCATTCCAAATGGAGCTCTTAACACTACAGCACAACATCACTGTGGTATGTGAATTCTGCAGAAGAGAGATCCTGCTACCAGAAGCAATGAGTCAGTATTTTGTTTACAAATAGAGGCAGGGGATAAAGCTGAGAAAGGGCTGATGATTATAAACCATTAAGGGTATGTCTAGACTATATTGGGTTTTATTTTTAAAAACTGCCCTTTTAAAAAAAAAAAAAAGTCACCTGCGTCCACACTGCAATTGCATTCTTTCGAAAGTAAATCGAAAGAATGCAGGGCTTATTTCAAAATTGATAAATTATGAGAAATAATGCCTTTTTCTAAAGAACTCTTTTGAAAAAAGGCGTGTGGACGTGGAAGAGGCAGTTCTTTTGAAAAAAGAGGACTCCAAGAAAAACCACACGTGCCCTGGTGGACAATCCATCTACACTAATCACAGCTCTATAGTTCCTGTCTTCAGCCATGGCTTAAAGCTGCAGGCACCTGTGGCATTGTGTCAGGAAGCTGGCCTCACAGCAGCACAGTGACTGTGCTGATCTCCCTGCCACACCATCAAGCAGCAATGGCAGAGCCACAAGGTTCCCGAGGTCCCCCGGCCTTCCAGGAAGCCACCCCAGGACCCACCCAGGGGCACCAAATGACGGGCTCCATCCTGGTCAGGGGCTGAGATACAGGCCCTCCTGGAGCTCTGGGATGAGGAGTCATCCCTCCAGGCCCTGCAGTCCAAACTTACCAGCTGTCTACACTGGCCGCTTGAATTTGCGCAAGAGCACTGACTTTGTAACAAAATCAGTGCTTCTTGCGCAAATACTTTCACGCTCCCGCTCGGGGAAAAAGCCCTCTTGCGCAAGAATACTTGCGCAAGAGGGCCAGTGTAGACAGGGAAGAACTGTTTTGCGCAAAAAAGCCCCGATGGCTAAAATGGCGATCGGGGTTTTCTTGCGCAAAATTGCATCTAGACTGGCCACAGATGCTTTTGCGCAAAAGCATCCGTGCCAATCTAGACGCGCTTTTGCGGAAATACTTTTAAAGGAAAAACTTTTCCGTTAAAAGTATTTCTGCAAAATCATGCCAGTCTAGACGCAGCCTATAATTTTAAACCCTTAAGGGTACATATACACACTCCTAAATAATAGAAGCTTCTCCGCACCCACAGAGCTTCAGAACCTGAGCTGCAGTCTGAGCAGGGCCATTTACACTGCTATTAGTCCCACAAACCAAGCTCAATTCACTTGATCTGGGTATGGAAACTCCCCAGTGTATAAGCTATTTTGACTTAAGCTATGTAGATGTACCCAAAGGGTATGTCTAGACTACAGAGATTTTTCAAAAAAAGTGGCCTTTTTTCGAAAAATCTTTACCTGCGTCTAGACTGCAGCTGCGTTCTGTCTAAAGTAAATCAAAAGAACGCAGCAGTTTTTTCGACTGCGGAAAACCTTGTTTTATGAGGAATAATGCCTTTTTTCAAAAGTGCTCTTTCGAAAAAAAGACGCTATGTAATGCAAAAGGGGCTTTTTTGAAAGAGCATCTAGACTGCCTGGGTGCTCTCTTTCGAAAAAGCAGCTTGCTTTTTCGAAGGTACTGATTGTAGCCTAGACACTCTTTTTTGAAAGAAGCTTTTTGAAAAGATTCTTTTGAAAAAGCATCTTTTGAAAGAGGCTTGCAGTCTAGACATAGCCTAAGTGACTTGACATAAGATACCATATATATAGTAGCCCAGTGTCTGAGTCTGTAACGCTGAAATGCTTGCTGTTCCCTGGGGGAGGGGGGGCTGTTGCCTGAAATGCTGGCTGTTCTCTCTGGGGGGGGGCGCTGTTGCCTGAAAAGCTGGCTGTTCCCTCTGGGCGGCCCGTGCTGCATGGGGAGTGCGTGGCCCAAATGGCCATTTGCGCCACTTGCTCCCCCTCGGTGGCCCGTCTGAGCGGCGCAGAAGTCAGCCGAGTGCCACGGTGGGAAGTGAAGGGGAGTGGAGTGGTGACGTGCGGCGTGACAGCAGCTCCAGGCCCCGGCCCCTGGGTGTGAACGTCACCGCCCCGCCCCCTTCGCTTCCCTGACTGAGAGGCAGGAGAGGAGAAAGAGAGAGGCGGGAGGAGGAGGAGAGCTGAGAGAGAGAGAGAGGGGGGAGGTAGTAGTAGGAGGGGGAGAGAGAGAGAGAGAGAGAGCGTGGAAGCTCAGGAGAGAAGACCTACGTGGAGGAGAGACCTGAAAATCCTGTCTTATGACGAGCTAATTGGCTAGTTCTAATATGTTTGTGTGAAAGCTTAGTGGATCTAATACTTAATTTTCTTTCTTTATATAAGAATTAGATACAATGCTCCTCTTAGCAAATGTCTACATTATCTTTAAAAAACCCAACAACCAAGAACTGTCAGATGTGTAAAGAGCCCCTAGTATCAGGGCCCCAAAAAAGCCAAAACCACAAGGCCAATAAAAAACTTTTAAAACAAGGAATGGTCCTGCAGCCACTTAGAGACTAACAAAAAAAGATAGTATCATGAGTTTTGGTGGACACAACCCACTTGTCAGATGAATGGAGGAAGGGGTCCAGAGGAAACAGGCCTTGAACCAGCCTTTTGCTTGGGTTACAATGGGTAGCGCTTTCTGTGCCTGTTCCTCAGGATCAATGTAGAGAAAGCTAATTTCCCACTTAGCCCTAACGGCGTCTCGTTGGCTGGTGTGAAGACTGGAGTCCAGACCGCTCCCTTTCTGTCAAGCTTGGCTGCCCGCCGCCCCCTTTCATTTCACGCTGGAATGTAATAGTAACAAGTGAGTTGATGATGATGATGATGATGATAAGCGAGCTAGGGAGGCGCTGTTAAGCCAGCAAGGCGAGGCAAGCGCAGCTGCAGCTCTTGCGCTCTCCTGGCTTCCTAAGTTCCAGGGGCTCCTAAAGCCAGGCAGCGCCCGCAGCGGAGCCCGACTGAGGAGATCCATGCTCACGGTAAGGAAAGACACTGCAAAAGAGTCCGTAGTTTCCGTGCGGGCCCCCTGCGGCGTGGCTCGGGGGCACGCGGGAGAGGCAGAGCGCCGCAGCGGTGCGCAGCTGCAGCTCTTGCGCTCTCCTGGCTTCCTAAGTTCCAGGGGCTCCTAAAGCCAGGCAGCGCCCGCAGCGGAGCCCGACTGAGGAGATCCATGCTCACGGTAAGGAAAGACACTGCAAAAGAGTCCGTAGTTTCCGTGCGGGCCCCCTGCGGCGTGGCTCGGGGGCACGCGGGAGAGGCAGAGCGCCGCAGCGGTGCGCTGGCGGGCGGTGCCTGGAGTTCATTCATAGCGAGGTGCGGGCCGGCTGCCTCCGCAGCGCGTTTTCCCGGGATCCAGGGGAGCGGG